AATACAAAACATACGTATGCAGAGTATGAACACCATGTATCTACCAAGGTTTGAAATTATTCACGAATGACATCCTCTTCTTTCGGAAAATGGTACAGTTGGTGTATTCCACCATTCGTATGAACGGCTATTGCATATGCGCGAATATCCACTGACTTAACCTCTTTCTGCAAATCCATGCCATAAAAGCTTGAAATAAGCTACAAAAAACAACGCGCTCGTCCGCGAGGATGTATCTAGCAAAGTAAAATGCAAGTTAATAAACACATAATTTAAAGTACTCAACAAAATAAAAACGAATGACAATTGACATTAGGTACAGATATTTTAGCTGGAAAATTTTTAACTAAGAGAGACAACTCAGGCCATGAAATAATTATTTGTGCTACGTGTATATTTCGTTGTCTGCGATGAGAGACTAAATCTGCGTAAAATTTGTTTTTATAAATTTCTTGAAAAATTCGACGCTTACTGAATATTTCTTCCCGTGAAGAAGCCAAACATTTTTTCAAACGGTATGGAGGAATCATATTAACAAAATGCAAAAAGTTTCATTCTGATTGAATCATGTATCGATGTTCGATGTAGAACATTCAGCCGACGTAGAATGGTATCTAGAATACAATACTATACAGGGTGGTTGGTAACTGGTGGTCGAAAATATAGAATAAAAATATTTCGTTTGAGGCTTTGTTTTCGAGAAAATCGATTTTGAATTTTCGCTCGGTACGCGTGCGGTACGTTATAACGGATATCACTGTAGATCATTGTCTTGATGGAAAAATTAAAAAAAGATATGTTTATTCTATACTTTCGACTTCTTTTTTCGTATAGAATCACCCCCTTTCCGCTTGTATCGCCAGTTATCAACCACGCTGTATATAAAATACAAAAATCTTTACAACATCCAGTTCTTTACAAAATGCAAAAGACTTCATTTTGATTCAACTATACTTGGCAGAATAATCGATGGTTTTATTTAAAAGAATAAATATTAAATTGGTAACATTATCCTTTCCAATCTTGATTAAAGATATAATCTAGCAACTGTAACATATTTACAAACTGTCTGTGAGTTGTTTACTAGCGGAGAAGAAGAAAAACGGGTCTCCAACGGCTCTCTGAACGGCATGTTCCTTCGTTGTCAAAGAAAAGCAAGAGACAAACGACAACATAATTTAGGGAGGAATTGAAAATGGGAGTGGATTGGTTATAATCTCACAATCAGCACCATTTCTGGAATGGTATACGATGGTGGGGTAGCGTTTGTATACTGGCAGACAATGCTATATAACACATTTTATTAATAAGATTTCAAAAGCACCTTAGGGTAACCAATAGACGTGAGCTTCTACCTCCTTCTCCCATTAATCCTTTCTCATCCAATGAATTTGCAAACATTCCAATCCGCATGGTACCCCCCTCCTTATCACGGAACTTCTAACGAATCTTGGGAAAATCAAATTTTACTCAGATTTACTCGTCTGTCGTCTACCGCACATAACCGAACATAATGTCTGACGAAGAGAAAAATCCTCCTAAACAACATGGAACTTTTTTTATTTTATTTAATTGGTTACTTTTCTTTACGTTCTTGCGATGTTATATGCCTCGAATCCTGCGAGCCTTGTGGAGAATGCTTAGATGAGTAAATATTTGCACCTACATCAAATATAACAACAGTCGACATCGAGAATATCATCTGCATCACTTTCCGAAAGAAGACACTCCCCATCATAAGGATTGAATTTGAAAAGTTGGTAAGTACATAGAATTCGTACTGTGCATACGTGTGTTTTGTATCTGTTAATGATTTATATTAACACATCAGCGACTGGTATTTTTTCGGCTAAATCTCGTTTCTGGCCACCATTCTCCCTAACCTTTTTGACATTTTCTCATAGTACACATATAAACCGAGAATAGAGCCGACATAAGAATGTTTCTAATATCAGTATCCAATGGTTCAAAAATCTTGCGTTTATAAAGCTTAGAAATTTTAGCCTACCGCATAGCTTACTTTTACGTGATAACCATTTCAAAGGTAAATATTATTATTTATTTAAACGCATAATGTGTTCAGAATGACAGAATATCGCTTTACAATCAATATTCTGAGATCTTTCCGATTAAAATGAGTTAGCAAATATGCTTCGAACAATGTAGTGTCTGATGATATTTTCATTATAAAAATGAAAGTAACGTGTTGGCAAAAGTTTCATCACAAATCAAGAATAAGAAAATTTAAATTTTGTATTGAACTGTTCAGCTTATCACAGGTCGTTCATATTTGTTGATTGTCAGTCCCTCCTTCTCTTTCACTCGCATTGTCCCTTTCTACGTTCGACACGTCTAGGACCTCAGTTTGAACATTTAGAATAGCTTATGTATCTCCATTATCGCAACACTTGAATCCCGATTTTCTTACAATTACAAAATGTTTCCTGTAATATCAAAAAACGCAATAACAGTTGAGAAACAGTGGTGTGTGCAGACGAAGTTTAGCCAGCCACAGTAGGATCATTTTGCATTTTAATGATATCCTAGGATTTACAATAAAACAACTATTTATATACCTTTTCTCTATTAAACATCTATTACTGACTACAGAAATAATGGCAGATAGTATTACTCGATCCGAGACCGAATGTCGACGAAGCAACAATACAACAATAAATTTTTACCAATTATTTTTTTACCATATTATTACCAATATTTATGAATCTTTCATCAACATGTCCGTCATATTTTTGTAATTAAAATGAAGCGAAACACGATATAATTTGTTAAAATTGGCTAAGTATCGTAGGTTTCTTCGTAAGCGAAAGACGAAACAATAAGGAAGGAACGACTGCTGAAAAAGCGAGTTCCGCAAGTTATCACGCAATGATTTTACGTCCCTGCGCGCCCCGAAACTTCGGAGCAAGCAGGCGAATCCGTTTCTGCTCCACATACAGCTCAGTTTTATTCTTCAATAACTGATACCTTCGATGTATAATAATAAAGTACTATACAAGATTTCTGTCTGGTTTCCTCTCAGTCAGGCAATTTTAATATAAAACGAGATACCTTGTCTCCCGACATCAATATGCTTTCCTTGTTTTATCCATGTTACTTTCGCTTATTATTAATATGAACTATTCTTTTAACAGGTAATCTCTTCCTGAAATATTATACCTGCGACTCTAAGAAGCATGGATGCCCGTGGCGATCATTGTTTACCCGAAATCATCAAATAAAATCATACAAAAAATACGAATAGAAGAGAAATCATACTGTATCCGAACAACCAATAAATTTATTACAAAATAAAAGATAAAGAGAAGATGTACAAGAAAGACAGCACGTTATCGAAAATCGGCTGATCAGAAAAGAAGGGCAACAGGAAGAAGGACGACATCAATGCAACTACTATAACTACCAGCAGTAACAAGTAGCAGATGAAGGTGGATAAAATAACTAGAAGAAGAAAATGAATTATTTCGTAATATACCAGTGCTAGACTATACAAGGCTACCGCTAAGATTCGCTGAAAATGACGATTCGATTCAACGACTAGCAATTCAATCCCAGACTAGCTGCGACGTTCATAGTAAGGGAAGCCTATGGAAAACATTCCGAGAAATAGAATTGCAAAATGAACATAATCAGCTGTTGAAAGAAAAAAAAAATTTGAAAGAACAAATAAATTATGTCAAATAAAACCTCTAGAAACGAAATATCCAGAAATCAATTGCGTGAAAAGATGAAGAGGTTAGATGTCTTGAGGTGGAAACATATATGTAAGGTCAAAATACATGCTCAACGATGGGGTAAGAGATAGAAACTAAAAAATTTATTGCATCAGTAAAAATTGTACAACTAAAAAGTTCCTTCAAGATAAATCACGACATCTTTCCCCAAAAAGAGGACGCTTCATCCTGGAGAGCGAAGACGCGGTTTCCTGCTGGCCCCGGAAACTCTTTTATTCGTAAGATGAAGCAAAACGATCGCTATAAAGTCAGCCTGTGAAACCATCGTTTTCTGAATTCCGTAGTTCCTGAAGAATCGATTCCTTCAATGATTCTAGAAGCATTCAAAGAATAACATTTCGATACAGCGAAGGAATGTCCGAGGCCGGAAGACATCAAGAAAGAAAGACGCAAGTCTCAAAAGTCAAAAGAAAAGGCGAAGAGCAGTTGGGATTTCCTCGAGGACAGAAATCTACATTTATATAATACACGTCTTTGACTGAATTATTTTGGATGGTTTCCCTTTATACAATAGTCTGTTGGTATAGAGATACATACATATTAGACATGTCCAATATTTATAAATGTATTATTTATGTTTTTTGTTTCGTATTATAAATTATTATATTAACATTTTTTACTATTTTTAACTCTAGTAATATATATCATCGTTCAAAAGTTAAACGATTAAGTTCTCTTTCTTAGGCAACGTACGAATAAATAGGTTCCGTAGTGTGTTCTTGTTTATGTCAGCATACAACCTAATCGGGTAAATCCCTAATTTTAAGGTTAAATACAAAGGTTCTTGTATATGCTAAATTACGACAAAGCAGGGCAGATCTTTAATGCTATAGATCCTTTTGCAAGTTAATTTCAGTTGAACTCCAATTTCCTCTCTGTTCGTAACCATGGGCGACATATGTAGCGGCACGATACCATAACAGCTTAATCGCGACACAATACTGTTTGTATATTGTTTCGGAAGATGTCATCCCCCGACGCAATATTCGTACTACACCATTGGTAAGATGTGCCGTGGGTGTGTTTCTTTAATATTACAACTTTTGTTATAATAAGCAAATGCACCAGACATCTCGTCCATGACGTAGTATAAGAGTGAACAATTTTGTGTTGTAATCGCGAAATGACTCAGCCGTATTATCCTATCAGCAATATCGTATCGTAATATATCTTGTTCATGCTTAAAAGTAAATTTATACTAGCCTTACCAGGCCCGGTCACATGGCCGTTTTCAAAATTTAATTAAAAATTGTACATTCATTATTATTTATTTCGTTCATCTAACTTTTGCAAACATTACAACTGATTTTGCAAACATATTAACACAAATTGAGAAATCAATTGATCAGATAATATAAGAATT